TTTTTTTTAAATACACAGCAGAGTGCAAACAGCTATGACATTATCACCTGAGTTGGACTACAGGTATAAGAAATGCAAGGGGACAGAATCTCCATGGCTGAATGCATAGGAACTGTATTCAGCCTGTAAATCTTATTTTCAAGCCTGTAAATCTCTGCATCTCTCTCTGTGCTGACAACTTTTTTTAAGTCCTTTTTCCTCAAATAGCTTATTTCTTTGATAATAGAAGAACTGTCACTTCGTTCTGAAAGCTTAGCTGGGGGAAAAACTGGATTTCCTTTTTCCTCCCCCACAGAAGGATCAACCCTGTAATTATATTGCTTTTTCTACTTAAAAGATTAAGTTTTGAGAACTTAAATGTAACACTAAGTGACTATGCAATCAATTTAAAAACCTTTTCATAGATCAGTTTACAAATTAGATGTATATACATCTAGAACTGTAAATAATTGTGACAAAGCTCCAGATTATCTGGGTGTACTCCCCAGAGCTATTTAGCTCCAACAGCCTCAAACTTTGGCAAAGAACATCCTAAATTGCAATAATCAGATTTATATGCTTGGGAAGTCAAGGAAATGTTTTATCACTGTTAGAGGCTTAAACTTAAAAATGCAGGATCCCCCCCCATGCCATCTGACTATTTCCAAGCTTGACACAAATTTTCCTTCAAAATGTAAAACAGAAGCAACAAAAAACTTGAAAATAACAGCTCAAGTCTTAAAGGTAGAACCATGTTTCAAGCTATCTGAAAAAGCAGCATGGGTGTTTAGGAACTGCAACAGCTTAATGCATTGTTGCTATTTCAGAACAGTTCACAGAGGAATAGAAGAGAATACTTCAGGGGCACCTAGGGTGGCTCAGTCGGCTAAGCGTCTGACTCTAGATTTCCGCCCAGGTCATGATCTCACGGTTTGTGGGATTGAGTCCCGCATCAGGCTCTGTGCTGTTAGTGGAGCTGGGGATACTTTCTCTGTTTGCACGCTCTCTCTCTCTCTCTCTCTCAAAATACATAGATAAACTTAAAAAAAAAAAAAGATTATAAAGAAAAAGAACACAATACAGCTACAATAAAACACTTGATTTTGTGTTTTAAACTTTTTCTTTTAAAAACTCTGAAAACACTACTGGTTATCAACATTTTCTAGATACTCTATTATTTTTTAATAACAAAGGATGGCACCTTCACGAAGTCCTTAATTTCGAAGGGCAGCTTCTTGCAGGTATTCAGAAGTTGAGCTGATTTAACTTTGATTTCAATCTCACCTGTTGGCATTTTCTTAAAGAGAGAGACAGACAGAAGAGACCTATGTTTAAAAAATCACTCATCAGGACATGTACACAGTGAACATCTGTAAGACACATGCACTTATTTACATTTACATATGTAAAATGTGTAGGTGCTTAGAGCACATAATCCAAAGCATAAATGTGTGTGCCAGATTTTGACATTCTTATGCATGTCTGTGGTCGATGTGCTCATTAACAGATGTCTTAACATGACCATCTGCATAGGTGTGTGTTTGTGGTGAAGATTTGGAATCTGTAGGATCATTCGTAGAACTTGCAGAGCTTTTCGTGCCTGATGTCTAGCAGGTGCTCAGTCTCTTGCTGAATGAGCAGACAGTGCAAATATATACAGGTCAAATTTATACATGGTTTCTAAACTGCTCACTGGATTCTCTTGTCCTGGAGGTCGGGAAATTACCGTCCCGGATACTTGCACCACAGACTCCATTGGGGCTTCACATAAAATCTTCTTCACAGAAGCAGCGGACTATAGAATAAGAGAGGAAAACAGTTCTGACGAACACATGAACTTAAAGGAATACGTAGTAACTACAGTAGTCTATGGTTTATGGAAATAGAAATACTCACGGCTTAACTACTGTCCTTAAATACTGCCGTAAATCCTGGGGCTGCCCTTAATGACTTTATTAAAGGCTTTGGTAAATGACATCCCCATTTTGACTCCATAGAACACAGCCAGTAAAACTATTAGGTAAGAGTTTAAAAATTTTTTCCTTAAAGGAAAATGAGGAGAATGATGGATGTAAACAATTCCTACATACTTTTAAGGCAACTGTCTCCAGAGTTAGTCTTGGGGGCAGTTAAATCCAATAGCAATAATGGGAGTCCAAATGAAAGGAATTCTTCTGGGTTAGCTATGCTCTGGATCCTCATCCCTGAGAGATAATTCACTGCTCTTCACTTACTTCAAAGACTAAGAGCTGAATAAATCGTATGTTTCTTAGGTATACAAGCATTTGTAAACATTACAAGAGAAACCAATATTGCCCAACAAGTATCACATGAGCTATTTTTTTTAATGTTTATTTATTTTGAGAATGAGAGAGAGTGAGCGAGTGCATGTGAGCAAGGGAGGGGCAGAGAGAGAGAAGGACACAGAAAAAGAATCCCAGGCAGGCTCTGCACTGGCAGTGCAGAGCCTGATGTGGGCTGGAACTTATGAACCGTGAGATCATGACCTCAGCTGAAATCAAGAGTTAGATGCTCAATGGACTGAATCACCCAGGAGCCCCTGACATGGGCATTTTTAGTTCATCTAATTTTAATGGTAATTATTTTTTGAGCAGGTAGTACCTTCACACGGCTCAAAATTCAAAGGGTATGAATAAATATACAGTAAAAGTCCCACTCCCCAGAGGTACCCATTGTTACCAGAAACTTACATTATTGTTTCATATGAAGGAACACTTCATAACAAACACACATACACACCCCTTTTTATACAGGTAATAGGACTCTACGTGCTCTTCTGTATCCTGTTTTTTTCACTTGACAATATATTTTGGATTTTTTTCCAGATCAGCACATAAAGAGTTTCTTTCATCTTTTTTCTATGGCTATAGCGATGTACGTCACTTCTTATAGGAGTCTCTTCTTAGGGGGGCATCAAGGTTTTCCCCCATTTTTTTCTATTAAAAAAATCCTGGGGTGTCTGGTTGGCTCAGTCAGTTAAATGTTCAACTCCTGATTTTGGCTCAGATCATGATCTCACAGTTCATCCAGCCTGTCGGGCTCTCGCGCTTGGAACCCGTTCTTGGATTCCTCTTCCTCTCTCTCTATCCTTCCCCTGCTCATGCATACACACACACACACTCTCTCTCTCTCTCTCAAAAAAAATAAATAAACATTAAAAAAATTCCTGTAAACAGGGTGCCTGGGTGGCTCGAGTCATTAAAGCCTCTGACTTTGGCTCAGGTCATGATCTCCTGGTTTGTGGGTTCGGTGCCCGATGGTCTCTGTGCTGACCAGCTCGGGCCTGGATCCTGCTTCTGATTCTGCGTCTCCCTCTCTCTGCCCCTCCCCTGCTCACGCTCTGTCTCTGTCTCAAAAATAAACATTAAAAAAATTAAAAACAAAAAATTCCTGTAATGAAGAACCTTGTATTTATTTTATTTTATTTAAAAAAAATTTTTTTTTTCAACGTTTATTTATTTTTGGGACAGAAGAGAGAACATGGAGCAGGGGGGCAGAGGGCTTACAAGGTCAGGAAACAACTCAGAGCTCTGAATCAGCCAGAGGTCTGACAAGTCGAACTCACCCGAGACCCTGAATCAGAACCTGGCTAGAACTCGGATAACCCGACTGTCCAGCCGAGCCACTAAACAATTTATGTCATTTGCATTTGAGTAAGTTTAGGGGTAAGATAACTAACTGGAAATGAAATGAATGTTTTGAAACACTTACTAATTTGATATTGCCAAACTGCCCTCTGTAGACTTAGTGCCAATTTGTATTCCCCCACAAGAATGTATGAGTACTTGTTTTCCCAAACACAGTGTGCTATCCATCCAGTTTTAATGACAACTCTGTGTAGTTTTAATTCACAATTTTGTACCTATGAGTGAGGTTGAACATATTTTCATATGCCTATTAAGCCACTTACGTTTACTTTTACATAAATTTTATTTTCATATGCTGGGTTCATATTTCTACTGGTTCACTGGTCTTTTTGTTTGTTTGTTTTGATTTGAAGTAGCCCTTTAGAGAAATTAGCCCTTTGTGATATGAGTTGCACATATTTTTTCCCAGTTGGTCATTTGTCTTAGTGTTGCTTATGATAGTTTTTAGTTTCATTAACAATAAACTTCTGAATTTAAAACCTCCAACATACTTAGCTTATTCTACCACAGCATCAAAGAGGCTTTCAGACAACAGTAGGAAACCTACTATTACCTCATCCTGGGGAATGACAACTTGAACAAGCCCATGGAAATCTCTTAGCACCAGGAAGATGTTCTGCCTGATCAATGAAGAAAATGAACATGTTAAGATAAAATCTCTGCACCCAAAATGTAAGCAGGCAAAACAAATTAGACAAACAAAAAAAAAAAACCCATGCAATTTTCCATGTTTTTATAATACATAATTATGTGCTTTCATTAGCTACATTCATGCAATTATCTATGTAGCTAATTAATGGAAAAAAAACCGACTTTTCATTTTCTTTTCTTTTTTTTCTTTCAAGTAAATTCCATGCCAAAGGCAGGACTTGAACTCACAACCCTGAGATCAAGAGTCACACACTCTGCCTACTTGAGCTAGCCAGGCACCCCAGAATTTCCATTTTCAATTTCAATTTTTAGCTGCTATATATACAGCTTACTAATGCTATCCAGATGGCTTGCATATTTATCTATCTATCTATTTATTTATTTTGAGAGAGAGACAGAGAGAGAGTGCACAAGCAGGGGAGGGGCAGAGAGAGAATCCCAAGCATGCTCTGCACTGTCAGAGAAGAGCCTGATGTGGGGCTTGAACTCACCAACTGTGAGATCATGACCTAAGCTGAAATCAAAAGTCAGACGCTTAACCACCTGAGCCGCCCAGGTGACCCAAAAGGCGAATTTTTAATTTTCACTGGCTTAAGTCTTTATAAGAAAATTTTACTAAATTTGGGAACTTTCCACATATTAAAATCCAAAGAATATATTTTAGAATATTGGAAATATCTACTTGGTCATTTTTGAAATAGAGCAGTATAAACTCTTTTCTCTCTCTTTTTTAAAGAACTTAATGTCTATTTATTTATTTTGAAAGAGAGAGAGAGAGAGGCCGAGGGAGAGGGAGAGAGAACCCAAGCAGGCTCCGTGCTGTCAGCAGAGTCCAATATGGGTCCTGATCCCATGAACCATGAGACTATGACCTGCACCAAAATTGAGAGTTGGACACTTAACCAACTGAGCCACCCAGGTACTTCTAAACTCTTCTCTTAAAATAAAAGATAAATTTCTAGAGGAGGTCCAACTACTAATTTAATACTTCTACAAACCATCAAAAGATCCCTCAAATTCCAACATTTTAGCATTCAACCTACATTTCTCATACTGCCCTTAGTACCAGGTGGAGGTACGGAAAGCCTCCTCAGATTTTGAGCTCAGGAGATAAAGTCACCAAATGTATGGGTCAAATATCCATCCATTTGGAACACATTCTTTAGGAAGTCCACACAATCTATGTATTTTGGAACTCTTCATTGTGAATTAATGTACTATTCAGGTACATGCTGGAATACAGAGATGAACAACAAAATGGGCTTTAATCTTAAGGAATCACTGTTTATCCTTTTAGGGTTTTTCTCTACCTAAATTTGGAATAAAATAAGCTTTTTTCATGGTAATGAAGCTTACCAGCTGGCCCATTCCCAATTACTGGTCCTAGGAACTCTTCAACTTTAGTAAGCCAAGGGACATTCAGTCCAGTGGAACACGCTTCGTTATTACACCCTTCAACAGATGTCATGCCAGTGACTCTATTTGGGTCTTTCAAAACAACCCTGAAACTGAATGCATTGTGAGAATCCTGCAGGGGCTACAAAGTTTGTACTGTTCTGACTGGTTGAAAATTAATAAAAGTTTGGAACTGACTGGGGGGAAAACAACCACCAGGCATTCTTAAGCCAGTTTACCTTCGGTACTGAATCCATCCACACAAGGTGACTTCCTGGCCTAAGTGAGAAGAACGCAATTCTCCGCACGTGTTGGTCCGAGCAACAAAGCTACTCAATTCTTTAAAGCAGAAAAGATTAAAAATAGATCATTTGTGAATTGCTTAACAGTAAAGACTCCTAAATTATTTCATTTTAGGTATTACATGTCAATGAATTAAACTTACAAAGTAAGTTGGAAGTCTGTAATTTGATTCAATCACTATTCGATTTACCTGCAACTGTGTCAAAAGCCAAGTGAATTAATGGTCTTAATGTAAATTTTGCCCTGTCTTAGGAAATCTAAATTTGATCAGATAGCATTTGCGTTAAGACCTAAAATTAACCCTATTCTTAATAGCACACATTTTCCCCAAATCGGACCTTAGGAATTACATTAGTTTGATGGTACAGTAAATGGCTTTAGTATGAATCTACAGTGACACCAGTCACTTGTACACTAGAAAACACTATTCAAGATATTCTCAAATATTAAAGAATTTTTTAAGAATCCTTTTTATTAGTACCATCAGCTAAAAGCAGAATTCATGTGGTTACTTTTCTGCTTTGTTTGTTTTGTTTTTAACTCCAGGGGAAAATCTACATTATAAGACAGGAAGGAGTGAGTGATCTGTCTCTACACATAAGGATATCCAGTTAAGTCTACAGGAAAACGGAGTAAGAGCACTCCGGCCGTAGAGAACAGGAAGTACTGTTTAGAGGACAGAGCTCTTCACTGCTTTCAACCTGGAATTCTCTGTGAACTGAGCATCAGCCTTCTGGAGAGAGAGCCCTGGATCAGGTGGGTGACCCTTCCGGTGGGTGTGGATAAACCCCTGCACAGCCGACTTAACCAACAGGAGAACATGTTGGAACCGCAGCAGGATGGCGAGAGACGCTTACGAATCCCAAGTTGCCGGTGTTGGATGGTGGTCAAAAGTCAGGTTAGGAAATACACACAAATCCCTTAAAATGCTAGGAGTTCCTGCTCTCTTCTCCAACATTTAAGCCATTTTCCGCTGAACATTCCAGTATACATGTCTAGAAACTAGACAAATCTGCAAGTTCTTTAGCGTCCTTGGAGAACGGATAGGGGAAAGACCTTTTTTCCACCCTCAATGCATCAGTTTCCACTTCTAACAAACCAAACTGCGGCCAGAAGAGCCGAAAACCATTCCACACAGCACGGCAGGGTGGGACTCCGCGACCAAGCAGAGGAAGGGGCCGGTCACCAAGCGCACGCCCTTCCTTTCCTTCCACGCTTCCCCAAAGGTTCCCGCAGGCAGAACGGAAAACAGGAACTCAGCCTCAGGTTTCAAATCGCCCACACCTGGCGGCCGGCCTCCGGTCTTCAAAAAAAGGGAGGGCGAGCAAACCCCAAACACAAAACCTTCTCAAGCCCGAACCCACACCCAGATCACTTCTGGGAGCCTAGCGCTTCTCATTCGGCTCCGCGAGCACCCAAGTTCAACCAATCAGAGCAGAGTTGCTGCCGCCATGTTTACTATGGGCGGAAATTTGAAGGAAAGCTTCGCGTAGATAGAAAAACGCTGAAGACTTAACTTCGCGCGATTAGCCAAGTTGACGGATAAGGGTTAGTCGCTCGACCTCAGTTAAAATGACGACCGTAGTTGCTTCACTAACGGGTAATCGACACCAGGGAGGCTTCCGGCGTCGGACCGCAGAGCGAGTCGGGAAATGATTTTAAACCGAGAAGGCGGCTGAAGGCTTGGTTGCCGCTTGTCAAAGGCGGGGTTTCAAAGCTAGCTGGGCTCCTGAAGGGCTCAGGTGGAGAGAGGTGAGTTGGGACCTAGTGTCCCTTGCCCTTCCCCTCCTGAGGCAGAAGCTGACTTCACAGGAGCGAGGGTCGCAGAGTGGGTGGCCGGGTCAGCGGAAATGTCCGTCCCGGGGTGAATGGAAGGACGTCTGAGGCAGCGGAGGTCTTCTTACAGGGGCGTTTGTGTTCCTGGTGAACCTACTTACTGTGGAGCGAGAGGGAATTTGGAAGGGTCAGGGGTTCCCTGCAACTGTCTCTGAGCTGCCATTTTGGCGGGTTTTTTTTTTTTTTTTAAACTTCAGGGGACTTTAGTCTCGATCGACACTTTTGGAACCAGATTTGAAGAATGATTCGTGAAGCCGGAATGGGTGACAGCCTCATCACAGCATTTCATTGGTAAAACGCTTTGTGTTTGTCCAGGACGGGCAGTAAGTTCTATTTTGCCCTTTTGTGCGTTCCTTATCTTTACAACACTTGTGTGCTTGGCACTCGGCCGAGCATTGGCGGTGGGATTTAGGTATTGGTGGCAGTGTAGAAACGTGAATGATTTACCGCAAGAAACCCCACTGAATTGTAACTGTGTGTTATGAACTGCAAGAGCAAGGAGAGTTGGCTGGGGAACTAGCTCTGTGGACCCCTGCCCTTTCCTGAGGACGTGAACCCTACAGGATGGATTGCATTTGTCAGATGGGAGGAGAGAAGCACTCTTAATTGGCTATAGGCTGAATAAAAAAGTCGGGGAGCAGAGGCAAACTTGACAGGAGGAGTAGGAGGGTGATGATCAGTCTAGAGTAGGGCGTAGGGCAGTGGTTCTTAACCTTTCTGAAAGTTGTCTGCTGGACCTTTCTCCATCCCCCTCCGCCACTAAATACACATGCCCACAACATTTTGCATACGACCGGAGAGGGTTGTTGGATTTTGGAAAGTCCATTTGTCCACAGATCTTGGGGTAAGAACTCTTGAATCAGTAGATGAACCTGGATAGTAGCAAATAGTAAGATCAGCCAGGGTAGGACCTTGAGACTCAGAGTTTTGACTTCATTTAAATGATGTGTGGGAATTGTTGGGATCTCCAGCATTGTAATGGCAAGATGAAAGGGGCGTCTATGCGTCCCTAGTTATGGGTTAGGGAAAGGGGTTAACATTAGGACACCGAAATGAGTTAAGGTATATTTTTAACCTCTTCATTATTGAGCAGGGTAAAATTGCACATTATTGAGTGTGGAGTGAGAGTAAAATAGATAGAAGTCATTTTCTGATCTTTAAATGTGTGGTTGGGCTATTTCACGTTATTACAGTATTATATACTTAAGGGAAATGTTTTCTCAAAACCAACCATTTCAGTGCTAATAGTCTTTTCTCACCTAGATGGATTTTTAATTTTTTTTTTTTTTTTTAATTCATAGCATTTTTCTTTTAAGGAGTCAAATTCAGCAGGGCTTATTTTGCCTTGAAATTGATCTTTACTCAAATGCAGTGTGCAAGGAGATAAGAGTACCCACTCTGACTTTATACTGTCTGAGTTCAAGTCCTGGTTCTTGCACTCTTTAACTGTTTCTTTGTCTTCCCATCTATCAACTGGAAACATGATAACCCACTTCGTGGGATTGTTTGAGGATTTAAATGAGCATATTTGTTAGGGGCTTGGACAAGTACCTGGCACCTAATGAATGCTCAATAAATGTTAGCAGTTAATCCAAATGACAAATTTGAAAGAAACGTTCTGTGTAGATGGGACTGATTAAATTTTAAAAATTTCAAATTTTTATTTATTTATTTTTGAGAGAGAGAGAGAGAAACAAAATGTGAGTGGGGGAGGGGCAGAGAGAGAGGGAGACACAGAGTCCAAAGCAGGCTTCAGGCTGTGAGCTGCCAGCACAGAGCCTGACATGGGGCTGGAACTCATGAACTGTGAGATCATGACCTGAGCCGAAGGCGGACGCTCAACCATCAGAGCCACCCAGGTGCCCCAAATTGTAAAGAGCTAATTCAGTATGCGCTTAAAGCTAGAATGCTTTAAAGTAGTTGCTATTTAAGTTATGTGGTATATGATCTTGCTTGGGCATTATCTGAACATTGAGAACTGTATGTTTAATTTATGAAATTTTGTGCAAGACAGAGGGTGTCCTACTTGGACACAATGAAATTTATCTTAAATATAGAAATAGTATAACTTTTCATTTGTGAAAAACTTTCTTCAAAGGGTTAACTGTGCTAGTACTTGGGAGTAGTTATTATAACCTTATATATAATTCCTTTCAATGAAAGTTATAATTTCAGAGTTCTATGAAATTCTCCTGTTCAATTAAACCAATACTCGTTAACAATTAACACTCAGCATTATATTAGGGTAATTATATAAGCGATATAAAAAGCATTGTTTCAGTCAAGGTATTTTAGTTGTGTTGGAAAGAGAAAAAATGCACACCAAAGAAAAAAAAAATACTACAAGGAAGTATATGAATATGGACCAAAATGAGTAGTACAGACTAGATGGTCAAGGAGAGCTGTGTGAGCTGGTGTATTATTAATCTCCAAAGATTTCATGAAACATTGCGAGATTTTGTTAGGCTCATCCAGACGGTTTTTGGGCTTTTAAACAGTATTGACCTTGAGGTCTTCTTTTATACACACACACCCATACACCTATACATGTTGCTTCCAGGAATGAACTATTGATACAGAGGTGTATAACATAGGTATTTTGGGGAAATTAACAAAATTCTACTTGGAAAGAGATCAAATTCGAGCATGATCTTAAAGGAGGTGAAATGATAAAACGACACTTCAGATAGAGAATATGATTGATAGGCAAAAACAATACAAGAATATGTTTATCTAGAAGCAGGATAAGGGCAAGCTGAATTATGAAAGATCTTAAATAATCAGCAGAAGAGTAGAATTTTCTCATCACTGTAAAGTTTTTTGCACAGGTGACGAAAGTGTCATTGCTGAAGAATGGATCACCTGTACATATGGAAAATGCTTAGTTGTGGTAGTAAGAACCTGGAGGTAGCTTTGGGAATGGATGACAAAACTGTTGAAGGAAAAACTCAAGAGAATGTGCTTAATGACTATCAGTTCAAGAATGAAAGTATCTTAAAAGAATTTAAATTAACATAGAAAATTGACAGGAATTTGAAAATGGACCAGCAAACTTTTGGAGAAGGATGTGAAGGAGTTGAATTTAGTTTGAACCTTCTGTTTGAAGTATCTGTAAGATATTCATAAAAATAGCCTATAGCAAATGGGAAATGTATGACTTGGTTAAAAAGTCAAAACTGAGGGTGGGGAGGGGAAGGGAGAGAAATAATTCATTGATAGTGAGAAGAAGAATCAGTGAAACTATGAGCATGAGTTAACTTTTTAGTGTTCAGAATTCTGGTTTTATTTCTTTTCTGTAGACCATGGATCCTTATGATACACCAGAATCGACTCCGAGGCACGGTGCATCCTCAAGGCTTAAAGATTATTTTATAGGTGCCACCCCTTTGCGGAAACGATTAGAATCAGTCAGGAAGCAGGCTTCATTTGTCCCGACTCCACCTCGAAGGAAAATTCCTCAGTGTTCACAATTACAGGTATGCTTTTTGTGTTCCTTCATGTTACTCAAAAATTGAGAAGATTTGTGAATAAATTTTGCTTTTTATTACCTTTTAATGGTATTTTTAGTATCTCCTTAAATCTCTCAGATAATAAATGAGAAATAGTGAAAAATATTTGTGAGATGGAAGTAGTGAAAGTAGTTACTCACACCATCAATACCACCTCTGTTAAGTCTTTTTTAAAAAAGTTTATTTTGTGTACACAAGAGCGCAGGTACAAGTGGGACGGCGGTGGAGGGCGGGGAGCAGAGAGAAGGGAGAAAGAATCCCAAGTGGGCTTTGTGCTGTCAGCACAGAGCCTGACATGGGGCTTGGTCTCACACACTGTGAGATCATGCATGACCTGAGCCAAAATCAGTAGTTGGATGCTTAACCGACTGAGCCACCCAGGCTCCCCTGTTATATCTTTTAATCTCCAGCATTTCCACAGTATTTGTCTTTTATGACGTTAACGTTTTGAAGAATGTAGTTTCCTCCCTTATCCTTTTTAAATAGAATATTCTTCGTTTTGTATTTGACATTTCCTCGTGACTAGATTGAAGTTCTGTATTCTTTTTTTTTTTTTTTTTTTTTTTTTTCAACGTTTATTTATTTTTGGGACAGAGAGAGACAGAGCATGAATGGGCGAGGGGCAGAGAGAGAGGGAGACACAGAATCGGAAACAGGCTCCAGGCTCCAAGCCATCAGCCCAGAGCCTGACGCGGGGCTCGAACTCACGGACCGCGAGATCGTGACCTGGCTGAAGTCGGATGCTTAACCGACTGCGCCACCCAGGCGCCCCCGAAGTTCTGTATTCTTGACTAGAATACAGCATAGATGCTGTTGTCCTTGGGGATAACATTTGGTAGCACATAGATGATCAGTTGTGATCATCCTGTCAAGGTGCTGCCCAGTGGTTACTGTTTTATTCCCCTCTGCATCTGATAAGCAGTCTGTGGGGAGACACTTTAGGATAATGTAAACATTCTGTTCTTATCAAAATTTCCCCTTGCACTTAATATCCATTGATAATTTTTGCCTGATTCCATAATCAGTTATGAGTTATAAGAACTCATAACTCTGATGACTCAAACAATTCTGAAGGTTTATAATATTAGTAATTTGTGATTTCACTGGAACATGAAATAAAACCCTAGTTAGTGCAGGTTTGATGTGTGGTTTTGAGGAACTTAGCAGAGTCTGGCGAATCAGTCTCCCACACCTTCCCTGTAATCTTTTCTTGTCAGTGTTGTGTGCCTCATGTCTTTTGGGATATGAGAAAATTTTTGCTTCTTTCTGAAAAGTTTCTTAAATTACTAGCGATGGTGATGAAAGTGATGGTTCTTAACCATAGAACAGAAATTGTATATAAATTAAAGATTGGGATATCCAGGGGTACCTGGGTGGCTCAGTTGGTTAAGTGTCCAACTCTTGATTTTGGCTCAGGTCATGATCTCACACTTCATGAGTTTGAGCCCTGCCTCGGGCTCTGCGCTATTAACAGAATCTTGCTTGGGATTCTCTGTCTCCTTCTTTCTCCGCTGTTCCCCTGCTCACGCTTTCTTTCTCTCTCTCGCAAAAATAAATAAACATTTAAAAAGACAAAAGGATTGGGATGTCCAATTCAGTGCTTCCTTATCATACAAATAATTTTGTATCATATAAATTTTCTATCATGCAAATAGTTTTGCTGTACCTTTTGACAGTTATAAGAAAAGAGTTTATAACTTATAAAAGTTTTATACAAATTTCCATGAATACTGTAGTCAAAACAAATATTTTTGTCAAATGGACAACTGTAATGAAAGTTCCAAAAGATAGTTGGAGCTGTAAAACTATGTCAGGAAGTATGAATTCTATAGAACAATTCAGGATAAAAGTAGGGACCTGTATGGGGGTGTATGTGAAGGCCCTCAATAATGCCATAGAACCAATGTGAAGGATGGTTGTTGTTGTTGTTGTTGTTGTTTAAGTTTATTTATTTATTTAAAAAAATTTTTTAATCTTCATTTTTTGAGAGAGAGACAGAGTGAGCAGGGGAGGAACAGAGAGAGAAGGCGATACAGAATCCAAAGCAGGCTCTGAGCTGTCAGCACAGAGCCCCATGCGGGGCTCAAACTCACCACCCGTGAGATCATGACCTGAGCCAAAGTTGGATGCTTAACCAACTGAGCTACTCAGATGCCCCTATTTATTTATTTTGAGAGAGAGGGAACGCACACAAGCGTGTGCACTGGGGAGGGGCAGAGAGAGAGGGAGAGGAGAATCCCAAGCAAGGTCTGTGCTGCCAGTACAAACCAGACATGGGACTTGAACTCACAAACTGCGAGATCATGACCTGAACTGAAATCAAGACTCAGCTACTTAATGGAATGAGCTACTCACGTGCTGCAGAAGTGTTTTTGTTTTTGATGGTACCTGTGGTTCTCTTAGAGCATGGCAGAAATACTAAGTATTTTTTTATTTGATCAACTGAATTTGACATTGGGTCATAGAATGGATTTACTGCTAAACATTTAAAACAATTACATAATTAACATGAATCAAATTTGATGCCCCAGGAATAGTTACTATTTTTTAAATCTATAATCTAAGTTTTTAAATGTTCATCCAATAAATATATATTGAACAACTGTTCTAGGATGGCAGTGTTCTAGGTGCTAGAGATGTAGCGCTGAATAAATCGACAAAAATCCCTGTTCTCTTCAAACTCATACTCTAGCAGCAAAGACAGACAATAAAAATCACACAAACATATAATACCAGATAGTAATAAAGCATGTTAAGGAGATACAGAGTGACAAAATTGGAGTGGGTGCAGGTGCAACTTTACATAGGGTGGCCTCTTGAGTGACATTTGGACAAAACTGAGTGAAGGAAGGGAACATGCCATGTGAACACATGTGTGGAGAGCATTCCAGAGGGAAGGTACAGTGAATGAAAAGCCCTGTTCAGGGATCTTCAGAGTCCTGCAGACTCCAGTTTGGTTGGAATGTAAAGATTAGGTACACAGATTTGTAGTAAATATTTAAAATTCTTTGATTAAATTCTTATTTACTAATGTTTCCTAATTCTTAAACTATTGTTGTCTTGATTGTTTTTTCTCTCTAGGAAGATAATGATCCTCAAAAGTTTGCATTTCTTCTGCATAAACAATGGACACTATATAGTTTAACTCCCCTATATAAATTCTCCTATACTAATCTCAAAGAGTATTCTAGACTTCTGAGTGCATTTATTGCTGCTGAAAAGCAAAAAGGGCTTGCTGTTGAAGTGGGAGAAGACTTCAACATCAAAGTGACTTTCTCCACTCTCCTAGGAATGAAAGGAACACAAAGAGACCCTGAAGCATTTCTTGTCCAGGTATGTTGTATAAACAGTACTTGCTTCTCAGGAAAAGAATCTGCACTGTCTTGGTTTAGAAATTGTGGTATTTTCTTACTGTTTAAAAATATTTTGAGCTTGTGATTTATAACCTTTTTTATGTCTTGTTTGACCAAATTGTAGTAATTAGATATGGCCAACTTAAAGGTTTTTTTTGTGGGGGGCACCTGGGTGGCTCAGTCGGCTAAGCGTCTGACTTCAGCTCAGGTGATGATCTCCTGGTTTGTGAGTTTGAGCCCCACGTTGGGCTCTGTGCTGACAGCTCAGAGCCTGAGCCTGCTTCGGATTCTGTGTCTCCCTCTGTCTCTACCCCTTGCTCACTCACACTCTGTCTCTCTATCTCAAAAATAAACAAACATTAAAAAAAAGGTTTTTCTAAAATAAATATGATTATGATATAATGATTATGATATAATGATTATGATATAATATGATTATGATATAATATTTATTTTATAAAACTTAGAAAATACATAAAAATACAAAGAAAATTAAAAACCACAGTTTAACATTTTGGCATACATCTATTTGGCAATACACAACCTGAGTAAGCTTCTCATTTGGCAAGTTATTAATTATTGGTTCAATTTCTTAATTTATTAATTGAATCAATTCAGTTTCTTGAACCAATTCAATTTCTTAATTGAACCAATAATTAATAACTTTCCAAAATAGAAAGCGCCAGGCCCAGATAAGTTCACTGGTAAAAGCTGCCAAAAGTTTAATTAAGGAAGAAATTATTTTAATTCTATAGTCTCTTTGGAGTATAGAACCAGAGGGAATACTTTCTAACTCATTCTGCCAGGCCAGTGTTACCCTAATACCAAAATTAGACAAAGATTATTTAAGAAACGACAGATTGATCTCTCTCATGAACATAGATACATCTGTCTGGCTATCTGGATCTATTAAAATTGGGATCATATTGCCCATACTTTTGCATTATGGCTTTTAAAAAAAAAATAATATCATAGGTAATTACTCATATCATTAAGAATTCTACATTTTATAAGTATATCTGTGTAATTCTATGGTTTTTACTAGGACCAAATTCCTAGAAGTGGAATTTTAGCAAAAAACAAATATGTAACATGGGGCCCCTGGGTGACTCTGTCAGTTGAGCATCTGACTCTTGATTTTGGCTCAGGTCATGATCCCAAGGTTGTGGGATTGAACCCTGCATTGGGCTCATGGAGTCTGCTTGAAATTCTCCCTCTCCTCCCATCCCCCCTCACTTGCACACACATATGCACACTCTTAAAAAAATGAAAAATAAAAAATAAAAGTAACATATCATTATATATTGTGAAATGTTCAGTTACTCTTACTTAAAAGTAATATGACTATCTTGATTTATTAAGAAACTGGATTTATTATTCATGCCTGCTACTTCTGTTTATTCTGAGTTAACTCATAGTCACCACAAATTAAATTCTGAAATCGTGAAAAGATCTAATTTTGTTTATCTGTATAGATTGGGTTAGAAAACTGTGGCCTGCAGGTCAAATCTGATTTGCTGCTTGTTTTTGTTTTTTGTTGTTGATGTTTTTCTAAATAAGGTTTTATTGGAACAGAACTCCTTTCATTTGTTTACATTATTGTGTATGGCTGCTTTTGTGCTACGACAGCACATTTGAGTGGTTGCTTACAAAGCCTAAAATATTTACTGTCTGATTCTTACAGAAAAAATTTGCTGACGCTTGGTATAGATCTGGTGTTGGCAAGGATCTTCAGGAGTCTTAGGAGTAGGTTTAGCTGCATAAAACAGAAAGCCTAAATAACAGTGAATTAGATGCCTATCTTGAGGTTAATTAATAGAGGTTTATTTGTCTTTTTATTTAAAAAAAATTTTTTTTTTAAATGTTTTGTTTATTCTTGAGAGAGAGACAGAGCATGAATGAGGGAGGGGCACAGCGAGAGAGGGAGACACAGAATCCGAAGCAGACTCCAGGCTCTGAGCTGTCAGCACAGAGCCCGACATGGGGCTCGAACTCACGGGCGGTGAGAACATGACCCGAGCCGAAGTTGGACGCTCAACTGACTGAGCCACCCAGGTGCCCCAAGGTTTATTTGTCTTACAAAAAAAGTGGAGTAAGCTGTTTAAGACTGGTGTATGTTTCATGAATTAATAACTTAGGCTCCTTCTATCTTCTGTATCATCCTTGGTGCATGGCTTCCATCCTTAAAGTCACATTGGAGTCTAATATGGCTCTTGAAGCGCTAAATATTAGATGCAAGTTCCAGGCAGGAGGAAGTAGGGGGAAGATGGGAAGGGCAAATAGGATGCCTGCCTGAGTAAGTTTTTAACGAGACTGCTAAGACCCAACCACTTCTTTTTGCATCCCTGTTGGAAGACAGACTAGGAAATTTTTCTTTTTTAGTGGGTACTTTGCTACCTCCTTAAAAGCATCTCATTAAAAGCACAGTTTTATTGTGGAAGGAAAAGTAGGTACTGGGTAGACAGCAGTCTTTGTCAAATGAAGCAGTTGATTTCCCAGAGAAGTGATGTGATTTGCATGTCAACAGGTAAGCAACTGTTCCTGTGCAGAATAGAAATGACCTCTTGAACTCTTAGCAGAGTGTCCTAATAGTTCGCAAATTAAACCTCATTTCTTCACAGGGTTCCCGGACTTTTAGGTTATACAATTGTGATAGACATGTCTGGCTGGGCTTTAAGGTTTTTGAGAATCGCTTGTAGTCTCTTGAACAAGAAGGCAAAATATGCTAAAAGTAACTTTTTAAATGATGATCTCTAACAGGATCTGATACTGGGCTGTGTTCTTCACCTTATCCTGGTCAAACTTTAAAACTTCTATGAATATCTTGGGGCGCCTGGGTGGCTCAGTCGGTTGAGCATCTGACTTTGGCTCAGGTCATGATCTCACAGTCTGTGAGTCCGAGCCCCGTGTTGGGCTCTGTACCGACAGCTCAGAGCCTAGAGCCTGTTTCGGATTCTGTGTCTCCCTCTGTCTCTGACCCTCCCCCATTCATGCTCTGTCTCTCTCTGTCTCAAAAAAATAAATAAAGGTTAAAAATAAAACTTCTATGAATATCTGGAAGGTATGTTTGTCATGTAGTTTATAAATTTGAAGTTTGAAGGGTTAGTCAGTCTGCTGGAAAATATAATCAAGATTCTAAAAAATCTGAATGGATTGGCACAATGGGTCAAATTGAGAGTGAAATTTTAATAGGAATACATATATTCCTCTCTATATTATGGGAGATTTACCTATTAACAGCAAGGATGAATAAGGATAATTTAAAGCTGTCAACTAAAAATTAGAAAACTGCAATCCGAGGTTATATTAGTAGTAGTATAATCTAGGTCTTTTTGAAGTGATTATATTCACTTATGAATGACTCTCATGCAGAAGAATTTCAGAGTAAGCAGGATAATGTGTGTATCATAGAAGGAATGGTTAAAGAAACTGGAGATGTTGAACCTGGCATTACATATGATTGGGATTATCAGATATTTGAAGGGCTTTTTCTGTGGAAGAGAGATTAGATTTGATTTGTTCTACATGCACATAAAGAAGAAAGCAGGACCTGTGGTAGATACTGTGCGCCTAACATATGAAAGAACAATTTTAAGTTGGTAGAGCTGCCTTAGGAAATCCTGAATTCTTCCTCAATGGAAGAATTCAAACACATTAAATATGTGACTTTTTATAGTCCCTTCTGAAGTTGAAATTTTGAGGGCCCCCTCTCCCCGCCAAGGATAGCATACTTGGTTATACCATATTGGCATTCCTTAATTTGCTTATTTTGCATTTTGGCTGCACCAAGATCTTGCCATGTCTAATAAAAAGAATAATATTCTCTGGAGGAAAGTTTGGGGTGGCTGTTGATTTGACTCAGGCTCGTTTATTAGGGGTGTGTTCCACGACTTGTGTTTGAGCCCCACATTGAGGTCCATGCTGAGCATGGAGCCTGCTTAAGATTCTCTCTCTCTCTCTCTCTCTCTCTCTCTCTCCTCTCTCTTTCTCTCTCTCTTCTCTTTCCTCTCTTCCTCCCTACCCCTCCACCCCACCCCTTGCCCCTCTTCCCGCTTACATGCTCCCTGGCTCTCTAAAAAAAAAAAAAAAAAAAAAAAGAAGAAGAAAAAATATTAGGAGGAAAGTCAGTTAACTTGATAAACCCTAATAATGATTAGGGAGATTATTCCCATTATGTTTTTTTGGCAAATAATACAATATATCTTCTTATTTTTTAATGTACTAATTTTGAGAAGGTGTAACTTAAGAGTAAAGGTACTTTTGCATTTAATGAACTCCCCCGTTTTTTTCTTTGTAGATTCTGTCAAAATCTCAATTACCATCAGAGAACAGAGGACAAAAAGTGTTATGGACTGGTTGGTTCTGCTGTGTATTTGGAGACAGTCTTCTGGAGACTGTTCCAGAAGATTTCACCTGTGTACCTTTATTTCTTGCAAATGGAGCAGAGACGAATACAGCCATAGTTGGAACCTGGTTTCAGGAAACTTTTGATTGTCATTTCAGTTCCTTAGCAATCAATGCGTTTAATCTTTCCTGGATGGCTGCTATGTGGACTGCATGCAAAATGGACCAATATATGGCTACTACTGAATTTCTTTGGTCTGTACCGTGTAGCCCTCAAAGTCTGGACATTTCTTATGCCATACATCCAGAGGATGCAAAAGCTTTGTGGGACAGCGTCCACAAAACACCCGGGGAAGTTACTCAGGAGGAAGTTGACTTATTCATGGACTGCCTTTATTCACACTTCCATAGGCATTTCAAAATTCATTTATCAGCCACAAGATTGGTCCGTGTTTCAACATCTGTAGCTTCAGCACATACTGATGGAAAAATAAAGGTTAGTTTGAACATATCTAGCTAGGTAATTTTTTCTTACTGCATAGTTTTCAAAATGTATAGAGATTGTATTTTCCACATTGAAGAAACACGTTTGAGTGCTAATTCGAGACAGTAGAGAGATTTTATGCTTTATAAATGATTTGCTAGAAAGTCTTCAGCCTTTAGATGCAGCTCTGTAATGAAAGGATACTATATACTGTGTGCTACAGGCTTTGGTAATAAAATGAATATAGTAACTTTGAAACTTTCAGAATTATGTTTCCTCAAACTTTGAAATAATTATCAGAGCAACAGAGGATTTTTTGTGTTAGATCAGAAAATTATAGCCAGAAATACCTAACTAAGATGACATCTTTATATTTTAGACTTTTCTGTCTCTAGTGGCAAAGAAATAATTGACATTGTTTTATTCTCTAGGAAGTTTTTTGTTTTTTGTTTTTTTTTAATGTTTTACTTATTTTTGAAAGAGAGACAGAGTGTGAGCAGGGGAGGGGCAGAGAAAAAGGGAGACACAGAATCTAAAGCAGGCTTCAGCCTCCAAGCTGTCAGCACAGAGCCTGACACAGGCCTTGAACTCATGAACCATGAGATCATGACCTGAGCCGAAGTTGGGTGCTTAACTGAGCCACCCAGGCACCCCTACTCTCTGCAAAGTATTTATTAGAGGAAATCTCAGAAATAAACTGAGAGTAGGTACCTAAATATAATAAAATATATCAATATATTTTAAATGTATTAAACTATGGCCACAGTAAACACTCTGAATATTGGTCTTGTCACTGAGCTAGGATTTTAATAGACCTTAATTTTAAATGTTTTTCTTTTTTAATTCTTTTTTAATGTATTTATTTATGAGAGAGAGACTGAGCGTGAGCTGGGAGGGCCAGTGAGCTGGGAAGGGCCAGAGAGAGAGGGAAACACAGAATCTGAAGCAGGCTCTAGGCTCTGAGCTGTCAGCACAGAGTCCAATGCGGGGCCTGAACTCATGAACTGTGAGATCATGACCTGAGCCAAAGTCAGAAGCTTAACTGACTGAGCCACCCAGGTGCCCCAATAGACCTTAATTTTAATCTTCAGAGCAACCCTGTAGTAGGTATTTTTATCCACATTTTATTTTTAAAACAAGGAAACAAGGCCAAGATAGGTTTTAGTGATACCTGCAAGATAGTTTGGTAAGAGGAGGAGTCAATATTTGAGTGCTTATCTCTTAGGTTCCAAAAAGTTCATGCTCTATAAGCACTATATTAGTGTTTTTCGAACTGAAAGTCATAATGCAATAGTAGGTTGGAAAATGATGGGAAGAGAACAGCTTTAAAAAACAAAAGAAATCTGGGTGCCTGGGTGGCTCAGCTGGTTAAGCATCTGACTTCAGCTCAGATCATGATCTTGCAGTTCATGAGTTCAAGCCCTGCATCAGGCTCTGTGCTGACAGCTCTGAGCGTGGAGCCTGCTTCTGATTCTGTGTTTCCCTCTGTCTCTATACCTCCCTCGATTGTGCTTGCTCACTCTCTCTCGCTCTCTCTCGCTCTCTCTCTCAAAAGTAAATAAACATTAAAAACAATGAAAGAAATATAATGGAAAATATAAAAATGAGTATCACATGTGGTAAGGGTATACATTTGCTTATACTGGATCATGATGTTAAATTTATTTCTTACTCTGATTTGCAGTAAAACATTTGAAAGATTATATCATGTTATTTTGAAATTATAAAGGGAAAAAATTCCATTTTAGCACCTCAGAATTCAGTGTTCATGAGGTCTTAATATATTTTAAAATTTTGTTTTCATATGCTCACACTCCATTAGTAAACTACATTTAAAAACTGTTTTGTAAAATGTGTTCTTATGAAGATAAAGGTGGTTCTTAAGCACATTTATTTTATCTGGTCTATTGTAAATCTAAGAGCCCCTCTTAATAATGTAAGACAGTAACTGGCTCCTAGCTTTGCATAATGCCATGATGATAACTAACATTTATTAAGCACTGATTGTGCCAGCCATTTTTAAGCATTTTATGTATATTGTCTCATTTAGTTTTTCACAACAACCTATTTCCATAGGTTGTAAAGAGAAAACTAACACAGGGAATAAGTAGGTTCCCTGATATCACACAGGTAATAAGTAGATTTTGCATTTGAACCCAGTCATCTGACTCGAAAGCTTATGCTTTTTTTTTTTTTTTTTTTTTTAACGTTTGTTTATTTTGAGAGAAAAAGTGAGCTGGGGGGACGAGAGAGAGGGAGAGAGAGAATCCTAAGCAGGCTCCACGCTATCAGTGCAGAGCCTGACGGGGCTCTATCCCAAGACCCTGGGATCATGACCTGCGCTGAAACCAGGCGGAGGACACTCAACTCACTGGCCACCCGGGCTCCCCAAAGCTTCTGCTTTTAACTGCAACAGTGTACTGCTGTCAAGAATGATGTGTCAGCCAGGTTTCTGCCACCTGCTTAGTTTCTACAAGATACTTTTTAAAAAAAAGTTTTTTCATTTTTAAATGTTTATTTATTTTGAGAGAGAGAGAGAATCCCATGCGGGGTTCTCATTGTCAGCATGAAGGCCGATGCAGGGCTCAAACCCATGAACCGTGAGGCCATGACCTGAGCCAAAATCAAGAGTCAGAGACTTAACCAACTAAGCCATCCAGGTGCCCCTCTACAAGGTACTTTTGGAGTCTATATCCCTTTGAGAAGAAGGAAGCTATGGAACCTTTTTCTAGAAATGTAGATCCAAGCGATTCATGGATTCCCTTCTCTCCCCTTACTTCTTAGGCAGATAGCCTAACTGTGGAAGCCAGGATAAATAAGAACCTTAGTCTAGTTATTTCTAAGCACCATTGACTAATAGTTGTATATTTATTAAAGTTAGTAGTCTTCATTAAGTAAAATCTATTTGACTTAGAGCCACAGTGGTATGGGTTGATGTTAAGATTGCAGATACGGAATTTAAAATAAGCCTGGAATTTTTATCAAACTGCTTTGTTATAATAATTAATTCTAACTTTAATTTTTTTTTGTTTGTTTTTTTCAGATTCTGTGTCATAAATACCTCATTGGAATCTTGGCATATTTGACAGAACTGGCAATTTTTCAAATTGATTGAGGTCTTGTGGGAACTATAAATTATGGATTATATAACTTTTTCCTCACAGATTATTTGCCTAATTTTTATGCTGAGAGGAACTGCAGGAGAAACATGCATCTATATCTGCATCTGTTTTCCTCTCAGTGCCTTTGGAATTGCCCAGATAGAAGCCAAGAAGGATCTAGAACAAAGAAGGTGGTAGCGAATGAATCACAGCCAGGTGTTCGTATAATAGTCATGATGATCTGGGAGGCCAGTCTTTAGAAAATGCTGAGTTGTTATTTTCTTGGGCCATCTTATATCAAATTTTTAGGATTCAAATGAGATATCTCTAATATTGAGTGTTTTTGATTTGGGTCTTTAAAAAGCTTTAATCCCTTTTAAGCATTTTAGACTTGGATTCAGAGAGAATTTCTGTCTTCTAAAGACATTTTCCTACTATCATTTCACTGTAGAGAGTTGGCAATCAAAATCCTCTCCAAAGGAAACTAAAAATTAATATACATTTATTAAAGCCACTAATATGCTTCTGTTTTTAATGCTGTTCAATTCTTATTGCAATGTTGAATTAAATATTCACTTTTAAAATGAAGCAGCGTGTTTATCAGTGTCTTGGTGGCAGATCTTTAATTAATGTCTCAGGAATGAGAACTCATAGGCTTTTTCTGTAGCACAAAGGTTACAAACCAGCAATTATATAGAACCATACTTATAGAATTGAAAGGGACCTGTGAGCCTCTTTTGAGAGCAGCAGTTATCTTGTTTAACTTTCATGTCCCTAATTTTGCTTTAGCACAGTGCTTGGTAAATGTCTGCAGGTTAAGTAAATGTATTTTAACCAAATCTTATATTTTATAGATGAAAACTATGAGATTGAACAACTTAGGAGACTTGCCCAAGATGCTATGTTTAAATCTCTTGTTTTAATTTATGGAGTATGGGAACATTTTGTTTTACTTTAGAAACTCTTTTTTAAAAGTTGTTTGAAAGGAAATTAATAGGCTGTCTTTCTAAAAGGTTAACTTTTGGAATGGAATATTATTTCACATATACTAGGAACAGCAGAGATAGTGGGAAAAGCATGGGCTTTGGAGTGAGACAGTCATTCATTTAACTAATATTAAGTTCCTGCTGTGTACTTAGAATTGTATTGGGTAACAGGGTATAGCAGTGAAGACAAAAAAGATCCCTGTCATTTGGAAATTACATTCTAGTGGAGGAAGGCAAAAAATAAATAATTTCTGTGGAGATAAATACTTAAGGCAGTACAATATGGAAAGGGGGTCTCTCTGGGTAGGTGACATTTGAGCTGGGTCCTGAATGCTGAGGGAACCAGCTGTGTGAAGGAATATCTGTGGAAGGGTTTGCTAGGCAGGTGAAATGGCGAGAGCAAAGGCCTTGAGATAGGTAAGAGGTTGGCTTATTTGAGGAATAAAGGAAGTCTGTGTGGCTGAAGGAAGTCAGGGTGGAGTAGTATTAGATGAGACTGAAGAGATTGTGCAGCAGAGACTTATTCCATGGGTATGTCTCCCAATTTTTGACTGAGCATGTGGTTGTCCAGAATAAAGATGGTCTTTTCTGGCCTTTCTCATAGGTAGGTGTAGTCCTATGACTAAGTTCTGACCCATGGCATATAAATGGAAGGATCAGGAATCTTCCTTAAAAAACAGCAGACATATACCCCTTGGCTTTTTCTTATTCTGCCATCTTTGCTGCTTGGAACACATATAATGACTGGAATTCTAGCCACTGTTTTTGGTCACGGGGATGCAGGTCATGTCATAGGAATGGTGGAACATGGCCTGAAACGAGTTTGTGCCTTGAGGACTTCTTGAGGCTGAACCCCAGTGCCACCCTTGGGCAGTCTTCCTATGGACCTGTGTGTCAGAGAGGTAAACTTTTATCTTGTGCAAGCTGGTGCTTAAAGACATTTTGGGTCTCTTGCTCATAGCCAAACCTAATCTTGATAGAAAGAGGCAGGATCTACGTCATCTAAGTTTTTGTAGCTATTTGTGAAGAGGCTGGATTTCATTCTAAATGCAGTGGGAAGCCATTGAAGTTTTAAGCAGGAGAGAATATTACCTAATCTGTATTTTATAAGATATGAGGGAGAATGAATTATAGGTGGACAAGAGTGAAAGGGAAAACAGTTAAAAGATTGTTAGAAATGGTACAAATTCAGTGGAGAAATTAGCAATATCTAGCAAAATGTTGTAGGATTTACCCTTTGATAAGCAATCCCATTTCTAGAATTCTATCCCCAAAACTCCCTGGCAAAATATAAATGAAGCCCGTATAAGGCTATTTATTGCAATGGTGTTTGGTAGCAAAACTGAAAACAATCCCAAGTGCCCATCCCATGGGGATTGTTTGAATAAATTATGGTATAGCGACACAATGAATTACCACTATGTAACCATAAAAAGGTTTGTGGAAGATAATCTAATACTACCATGGAGTGATCTTTTCTTTTTATAGTTTTTTTATTTTTATTTTTTTGACTAAAATACTCATTTTATTTATT